ATCAACCAGAAATATTTGAGTCATTGTATATAAAAAAAAGAAACATAATTATAGAAAAATTGGTATTCAAAATAGCTTGATTGATAGTAGTTTTGTACGATCACAATGTTGTTTGCTGATAATCTTCATGTTTCTTATTCTTTTTTTCTTTTCTTATCTGTTTAATTATTTACTTATTTTTGGTTATTTTTTCCTTTTTTTACGAGATGAAGGTAGTAACTAGACTAAGTGCTGTTTTGACTTCTATATCTGCGTGTTGTATGTAATTTAAATAAGTAATGAAAGGATTAATAATTTGAGAAAAAAAAACTGCTTTAAACATGTAAATGTTTATACCTAAATAAGGTAGTATTAACCTGACAGGTCCTGTATTGTTTTATTGTTAACATCTTTGTCGATTTGTTTTTCTTGGAAGGGTCAAATACGGAGATACGAAATACAAGTTCTAAATCACCCCACAAGAAGAACGACAGTAAATCAGTGAAAACTAAGAAGCAGGAGAGCAAAGCCGCTGCTGTTGACGAGGATATTTTTCAAATGGATGACTTGGATCCTCTGACCACACAAATGCGCTCTATGGATGTTTCTAGCAATGACTGCGAAGATGGAGGTTTCTCTCAAAGACAAATCAAAAAGAAAGGTTCTAGCTTAAAAAGCAAGGTTCAAGATGACGCGGAAATTGAAGTTGAAATAAGTTTGAGTGGATCTAAAGAGGACGATAACAGAAACTCCAAAACTGACTCAGAGGAACAAGCATGTGGTGTTGCAGACAAAAGTAAAGACATTGTTTACAGATTTGATGCCAAGATTTTCCAAGGAAACATTAAACCAGTCAAAACCTGTTGCATTTGCAAAAAGGATGGTCATGTCAAGGATCGGTGCCCAGATATGCAGAAGCCATTTCTGATAGCACTGCCGCCAATGACGCCAATGTTTGCTAAAGTGTTAGATTCTTTTTGCCAGACTTGTAGAGGTGTGTACTTCCAACAAAACTCCTCGTTTATCTTTCACTATTTACTTTTGTTATAATGCCTGTATACACATGTGTATAAAAAATTAGGGAAGATGCACAACTAATCAGTTGGAGGTTTAGTGTTTTACCTTTATTAGTTAGTGTAACACTACGCTTTCCCAAACATTTTCAGCTTTTTTTTTTAAAGTAACCTGTAAGGTAGTCAGGAGTCTCTCTAAAGGACAAGTACAGAAATTAAACCTGTTCATGTACATGCTATAAGTGTTTAAACCGGCCATATCTTCATGTTCATATCATTTCTCGACAAGTATGTTTGCATATACCGTGTACTTATGGTACATCTTATTTCACAGCCAACTCGCTATTCCAATAATTTCAGACTTTTATATTTTTGTAGCTGATTTTGAACTTAAAAAATCAGAAGTATCCAACAGAGAGGAGGTGTTAAGGAATTTGGAAAGCTACATTAATAAGCAGTATCCAGGTAAACCATTTAGTTATTTATATCATTTACTTATTAGCGAACTTAAGACAGGCTGGCCCAGTTCAACTTTAAAGCGGTTTTAAACAGGGGCCTGTACAAACAATTTAACAAGGCCAGACCACAACATCGGGAGCTACTCTCCCTACTCATTGCAAGGAGTGCGCGGGTTCTTTGACAACCCCTGCTAACTAGTATAAAGACGATACAGGAGACGGGACCTACGGTTTGTCGTCCTTGTTCGAGAAGAATAGAATTTCTATCCATTAGTGGATGTCAAAGCAAAGGCAGTGCAATGTCCTTAAGACCCTGAGTGTTGGTCCGGTCTGGGGTTTGAACCCTCGACCCTCCGCACGGCTTTCCAGTTGCTTTGTTTGAATTACTCAGAAACTGAATTTTATAAAGCTGCTGTTGTCTTTTTCTCTCCAGAAGCACGACTATTTTTGTTTGGTTCCTCCAAAAATGGCTTTGGTTTTCGCAACAGTGACATTGATATTTGC